TATATGCCTATAGAGTCAACCTACTAAGAATTTCACCTTTAAATGAGATTGATTCTCTCTTTCCCAACAGTCACCAGTTGCCAGTAGTTAGTTCTTTAAATAGGGTTGGGTTTTTTTTACCCAGAACTTCTCTAAGTCTGTGTTGGGATTTTGTCTGGCTTGAGCTTATGTGGGACTTGTCCATGTTGTCAGCATTGCTGTGAACTGAACAGCTGTCTGGAAAACTCTGTTTCCTTGTGGTCATCCACCAAGGATCTGGCTCTTACAATATTCCTACACCCTCTTCTGAAATGATCCCTGAGCTTTGGGAGGCAGAGGTTTGACATGGGTGTCCTATTCAAGGATAACCAGTCTCTAGCCTCTTATTCTCTACACATTGGCCAACTGCGGTTCTCTGTATTAATCATTATCTGATGTATAATGAATCTTCTCTGCTGAAAGTTGAGAGATGCATTAATCTATGGGCATAAAAATAAATAATTAGAAATCAGTTTAATATTATATCTATGTGGCAGAATAGTTGCATTAGCCTTTCTCCCTTAATCTGTGGGCTGTCTAGCCTCAGGCTCCTATGCCTGATAGCAATGCCAGGTATGGGCTTCATCTTATGAAGCAGAACTTAAACCCAATTATAGAGTAGTTAGTTACCCCTATGATATTCATGCCACTATTGCACAAGTAGGCATATCTTCCAGGCCAGTTGTTGTGGCTTGCAGGATTCACAGCTGGGTAATGGTTGTGCTAAATTTTCTCTTCGGGTAGCTTGAATAGCATCTTCCAGCACCATGAAAGCTAGACAGTAGAGATGACTTGATTTCCCTTGTTTGTCCTACAGTTCATGTTTGTAGTGACTCCAGCAATAGGGTCTTACCATGAAATTCTAGTAGGTAACCAAGAGCAGGGGCAATGGCCAGTATTATTTGAAGGTCTATAGGATGCCTGGTCAATAACTGTAAAAGAGGGAGTTCATTCCTGGAACTGAGCTTTTACTTTGTAAGCCTATGGTGTTTAGTAGAGGCACTAACCTCCTGTTATAGGATAATTCCTTTTAATCTTTTTTAAATAATGTATATGTATATACTTTAACTTCTATAGTGGTAGGTTTCCATATGGTTTTTTTCTAAAGGCCTTTCATGCTGTTTTTGAATGATTTCCCAGTTATTTCTCCACAGGAATCCACCTTGCACAGATCTTTATTGAGCATAGACTAAGTACCAGGCAGTTAACAGGACTGTTATCCTTAAATGAGAAAACAAATGCATATGTTAAGGGCTGTGCCCAGGATGCACAACTACCAAGTAGTAGGGCTGGAACTTGACCCTGAGCTCTTTGCCTAAAGGAATTGTGGGGTAAAAACAAAGGAGCAGATGTGCAGGCAGGCCGCATTGGTTCAGGTACCAGCTCTGCCCTGTTCTGACTGGTTTACCCTAAGCAAGCTGTTTCACCTTTGTGCTGTGGCTGATGATAGGGAGATTAAGGGCATTCATAAAGCACTTAGAAGCTATAGGGAGTAAAAGCTCATCATTTGCGCTCATAATTTAGTATTCAGTTCAGTATCCCTTTCTGCATTCTGTTCCCTCCATTTCCATACAGGGCCCCAGACTGGTGTTCTTTCTTTCCTGTGGAATTTTCCTATTTTTTTTCTGTTGCCTTCATTTGGCAATGCCATTACACATCTGTCCTCTGACCTGCATTACTAAAATGGTCTACTCAGAAGACCATGGCTTTTAAATATCCAAGTTGTATATTCTGGTTTTCTAGAAAATGAAGAAATGAAACTGATTCTTATGCAAATAGATTATTAATGAAAAACCCTGAAGAAAGATCTAGCTAAGTCTTTGTAAAATACTATTGTAAGAAAACATTTTAAGGATAACATGGGAAGAGTTCATTATTTTTTCCTATATACATGAGTATTAGTGTAGTGTGTAGTTTCTGAAAGACAAATGGTCTCAATGAGCACCTAAAATTATCTAATATATAAAGTCACACAACTAACAATCAGACATCTCCCAGAAATTCTTTATTAACGTGTCTCAATTGAATCAGACGTCTCCCAGAAATTCTTTATTAATGTGTCTCAATTGATAGAAGTAAGTTTTATTTTATTGATATATTTTCTGACAGTCATGAAAGAGAACACTTATTTATTCTAAAAAATGTGGCCATGGACTAGCTAAACCTATTTGTAGAGTTTAAATGACCTTACTCAAGTAGAGTAGAGGGGTTTACTTAAGCCTCAAGCTAAAATAAAAACCAGAAATTGAAAAGCACTGAAAGGCCTAGATTAGCATCTCACTAAGCGTAGTTTGGTTGGTTGGTTTTCTGAACAAAAGGCAAATTAATGATTGTATTTTCTTGTGATTGTTCGTCTTACAGAGTTTAAACATCTTCCAGAACCTCAGTAAGAGGCAGTTTGAAACAGTGATTCATTTGTTTGAGGTTGCAATAATAGCAACTGACCTGGCACTGCATTTCAAGTAAGTACGTGAAGGGCGTCGCAGCGCCCTTGGGCCCCATCTGGTGCTGCCCTCCATGAATTAGCTATTGCTTTGAAGTTAAAAGGCCTGCTTACTAGGCTGAAGCCGTGGCTCAGCAGTTAAGCGCACTTGCTGATCTTGCAGGGAACCAAGGCGTGGCAACTCTAGCTTCAGGGAATCTGATGCCCCTTTGGGCCTCTGAGGCATCCACATACATATGCCCATAACATACATATGTGTGGCATACATACATGTGTGTGAACACACAATTAAAAATTTTAAAAAGCGTGTTCACAAATCTGTTTTCTTTTTTGGAATATCAGTTATAATATCCTCAAGATAGTTGACCCACAGAGAACTTACTGGATTCAAGCATTTTGAAAGCCTAAGCCTTTCATGGTAAACACTTTGCGATCTGAAGAAGCTCAAATAGAAGAAAATGCAGTGATGTTTGCCACTGAAAACATGTCAAAAAAATGTACACTGTGGCTGTATGTCGTAGTGGATTCACCCTGGTCCAGGTTGCTCTTTGGTCGAGACAAGAGCTCAGCTCAGCAGTAGAAGGTAGAGTGCTGGCCCAGAATCTGGTATGTGGTATTCCAAGCTCAGAAATTTGATCCTATGAGAGTCTTGGGTCTCAACAGTCTTGATGATTCTAACACACCAGCCAAACTCACAAAAACCGACTTACACGGAGCAGAGAGCCATTTTCTTCTAAGTGAAACATAAAGTTGCGTGGTGAATGTTGATTAGAATGAGGGGAGCTGTTCATAGGATCCAGAGATTCAGTGACTTGGCACTGTCAAATTTGCCTTTTTGATCTTTCTTAAAAATTTAACTATTAAACAGTACATGTGCACACACCTGCACTAACAAGTACACATATACACAACACCACACAAACACAAATAGCTAAATGAAAAGATTCACCCTTGCTAATAACTAGAGAGCCAGTTCAATGTGTTTCAATTGTCCAGTGTTCAACTGTTGAGTGTATAGTAATCCCCTGACCCACTCCTTTACTCACAGGCATCTAGTTGTACCCCCTCTTCCACTGTTGCCTACGTTTCACGGAATGCACTTGTACATATGTGAGAGCATATGTAGAAATGGGAGTGCAGTGGGGTGTGATGTGTGCTGTGTGTGCCCCATCAAGCCTCAGGCTCTTGAGTAGTTTTGCCGTTTACACTTCTATGAGTGGCATGCAAGAGCCCCTTTCATCCCATGTCTAAAATACTCTGAATCTGGGCACATTTGGATTTTAATTTACTAACCCGTTGAGTATGAGATGGTATTTCCCAATTACCAATGCAATTACCAATGAGACTGAGTATCCATATATTGTGGGTTCTAGGTTTTTGTTGGGTGTGCACTGGGATGCTACAACCTGTGGACTTTGTGTTTATGTCAATGATCTCTTTTCTCATTTGAATGGTCACTTTTACTGTATTCAAGTTTTCATGGGCTTTTGAAACCCCTTTGTGGTTTGTACTTTTTCTGCCTTCAGCCCTTTCTATCACAGAGCCAAACAACTATCTTCCATTCCCTTCTCCTGGCCCCTTGGTCCCTGCTACGTAGACAGCCCACTGCAGAGTGGGAACATGGATTCAGCACACATTTAAGATCATTTTCTATGGAAAAATTGTATCTTTTCCAGGAAGAGAACCGTGTTTCAAAAAATTGTTGATGCCTGTGAACAGATGCAAAGCGAAGAAGAAGCCATCAAATATGTAACTGCTGACCCAACCAAAAAAGAGGTTATCATGTGAGCAATCACAATGTTATCTGTTGGTTTATAAAACAGCATATTTTGTATTTCTTTTTAGCTTGCTGATTTTTCTTTTCTTCCCAAGGGCCATGATGATGACTGCTTGTGACTTGTCTGCCATCACTAAGCCCTGGGAGGTCCAAAGTCAGGCAAGTCCAGCCACATTTCCTCTCCTGTCACCCATCAGATGCTGCCTGAATCCATGTGAAAGGCTGTGCTGTGATCTCTGGCAACCTCAGAATCCTCTTCTGATGTTTACACACAGGGAATGAGGGGAGTGAAGGACTGGTCGACCAGTTGTTCTCTTTTTAATTGGCTAGGATAAACTCCCCCTTATTCAATAACATCTAGTGATATTATTGAACCTTCAGCAGAGAAGCCAGGATCACCTCCCCGCATAGATAATATCTGAAGACAAAGTCTTTGTAAGTCATTGTTGGGAGGGAAATACGTTGAGTAAAAGACCCTAAGAAGAGAAAAGCATGTACATGTATTTAAGTTCTATGTGACCTGGGAGACTTCATAAGGAAGTGAAGGTCTCGAGCAAGAGTTATCCTCACTTATTTTCATACAAGGGTTGAAAGTGTGGCTGGTCACAGAGAAATATGACTGGACAGTGGAGATAACCCAGGGAACCTAGGATCTTGGCCTCTGCACCTCTGGCTCCTTCCCTCCAGAGAAGAGGGGCACCTCTTGAGTGAGGGTCACAAGATGAGCTTCAAGGAAAGTTCAAGCAAGCTTTCCTAGGTTTTAGAACCTGCTTCAGGGTAGGAAGACTGAGGGCAGGGCAAGTGGCAACTGCTTCTGAAACTTTCTCAAATTCCAGCAGCTTAAAATATTTTGAGGTGACATACCCTGAATTTCATCACCACCAAATCCAAATCTAAACATTCACTTTAGCCCAAATCTAAACATTCACCTTAGCATGCCTGCTCTTGCTTCCAGTGTGTGTGTGTGTGTGTGTGTGTGTGTGTGCGTGCGCGCGCGCACGCACGCACATATGTGCAGGAGCACACACTCATGCATGAGCCTGTGGAGGCCTGAGGTCAAGGTTAGTGTGTCTTCCTTAAACACTCTCCACCTTATTTTTTGAGACGAGGTCTCTTCTCTGAACCTGGAACTTGCCACGTAGGCTAGGCTGGGAGTCTAGCAAGCTTCAGGGATCTGCCTGTCTCTATACCCTGCCCCAGGCTTACAGATGCTCCTGGTATTTCCTAGCTTTTTATATGGGTGCTGGGGATCTGAACCCACGTCCTCATGCTTACTTGGCAGGCTCTTCACCCACTCAGCCATCTCCCCAGTTCCCTGCTGTATTCTTTATCTCTGTTCTCACTTAAGCCAGAATCCAGGGGTCCCCCCCTTGAGCTCATCAACCATTTCAAAATCCTTTCTGTCTGTTGCCCCCACTATGCCTCCATTAAGATGATACCTGGGACTAAGAATATATCTCAATTGGTAGAATGTTTGCCTACCATGCAGAAAGCCTTGGTTCAGTCCCCAGCACCACATAAGTTGAACACGTTGGTGCATACCTGTAATCCTGTCATTCCAGAGGTGAAGAGTAGAGGATCAAAAGTTCAAGATCATCCTCAACTACACAGTTTGAGGTCACCCTGGAACACATGACACACCATCTCAAGACAGAGAGAGAGAGAGAGAGAGAGAGAGAGAGAGAGAGAGAGAGAGATCCAGGTTTTAATGGGAAGCCTGGTGGTGGTCTTCTAGCTGATCTACCTCATCAATGACTTCCTGTCTTCTTCCATCCTCTGACCTATTGCCAGAATCATCTATAGAGATCTGCTGGCTGCCCCATGGTTGAGAACGTTTCTCAGCAATCCATTGCGAAAACTTTCCAACTGTTTTTATTTTTTAAGAAGTACATTTTTGAGCTGGGTATGGTGGGGCACATCTGTGATCTTAAGACCTGGGATGCTGAGACAGGAAGATTGCACATTCAAGGTTAGCCTGGGCTGTTAGGTTTGGGGTGCAGAATTCGGGAACAATAGGAGAGAAAAATGCCTGACCTCAGACAAGACTGAATTTATTGACACACCTCAGCAAGGGACAGCGAGCTTCTCGCATGCTGGAAGTGGCTGCTGCCCCAGGGGAGGGCCGTTGGGGCTTATATAGGGTATAGCTGTGGCTGGCTGACTACAGATCAGGGGTACTTGAGATGTTTATGGCCCCCTTAAGGCCCCCTTCTTCCTGGTACTGTTTGCTCTGGTTTTTCTTGTGAGACGGAGGGTTTATGAGCACTTCTTGGGACCGTCTGCCCAAGGAGTCAAGCTGTTTTGGGAAACAGGCTGTTTCAACAAACAGTCCTCTCAGGAGAAGAGAAGTAGCTGATTGATGAAGCAGCTTTCTGCAGCCAGGGCATTCTGTCACGGACTGCATAACAAGAAACTGCCTTGACAAAGAAACAGGAAGCCTATTTTCTTCTCGTAAATCTTACACAAAAATAACTGCATAATAGAGATGAAAAGCTTCGACCTAGAGAGCTAGGTTCACGCTTCCCAACAGTACATAGGCCTGTCGCTATCTGTCCCCAGTTCAACACTGCTGGGGTCATTCCCCATTGACCCATGTCATCACCTCACACATTGTGTTTATCCCTTACATAGCCCTCCCTTCCTGTCTACCTAGAGAACTACTACTCTTAAGGACACAACAGAAATGCAGCCTCCCTCCATCATGACATGTCTCTCTCTTTCCCTCTCCTTCATCCATAACATTTAGACTCTTAGTATCACAGCACTTACCATATCCAGTACACAACTGTTTTCATGACTGAGCATCTTAAGAAAAATGTCACATCTTATCCTTGGAAAGTCTGGATCATGTGCCAATGTGAAGCAGCTAACAAATGTTTATCAACTATGGCACATTGGTTTTTCCATTGTATTAATTAACCTTTGATTATCCTCACACTGCAATCAAGCAAGCCTGGGTATATGTTCACACATCTACAGTGTAAGCTGGGTGATCACAGCAGACAGAGAAGGAGGCCTACACAGTGTTAGAACTTGAAGCATTATGGTCTGTGGAACTAAGCATCCTCCTGTTCCCTATCTTTACTGAGAAGTAATAGCAGCCGAAATAGGAGTCACACACTCCTAGAGTTAGTCCAGAACACTGAAGTAAGAACAGCTCCTTTCTCATTTCAAAGTGATCTGTAAATGACATCTTTTTATAACTTCAGAGCAGATGGCTTGACAGAACCTCAAGTGGTGACTGGAAATCCTACCCTTAAATGTCACCTATGATAATACAATGCAAGTTCTCTGTTAAGAAGTGGATATTGGGGCTGGAGAGATGACTCAATGGTTAAGAGCACTGACTGCTCTTTGAGAGGACCTGGGTTTGGTTCCCAGCACCACATGGCATCTAACAGCCATTTGTAACTCCAATTCCAGGATATCCAATGCCCTTTTATAGTCTCCACAGGCATTGCATACATAGATGCACTGACATATGTGCAGGAAGAACACCAATACACACAAAATAAAAATACATAAATGATTTTTTAAGATGTGGATATTGTGAACCATGTCTTTCTCTTTTGCAGGTAGCCCTTCTGGTTGCAAATGAATTCTGGGAACAAGGAGATCTGGAAAGAACAGTGCTGCAGCAGCAACCTATTGTAAAAACCTTGTCAGAAAATGCCCTACTTATTGAAAACCATCCCTAAATCTTGGGAAGGCATCTTAAAAGTATTTGCTTCTCTTTGTAGCCTATGATGGACAGAAACAAAAAAGATGAGCTCCCCAAACTTCAAGTTGGATTTATTGATTTCGTTTGCACTTTTGTATATAAGGTAAGCAAATTATTTGAATAAACCATTTAATCATTTAGATGAGAACTTTTCTTTCAGACTAAAATTAGAGTAAGCCAGATGTGATGGTGCATATCTGTAATCCCTCCACTCAGGAAGCAGGAAGATCAAGAAGAGTTCAGGGCTACCTGGGCTATAGAGCAAGAACTTAGCTAAAAGACAAAACAACAACAAAAACTAACCAAATGAAGACGTCACCAACAGAGAAAGATTAGTCCTAGTTAGTTTTCTATTGCTGCAATCTAAATCAAAACCAATGTGGGGAGGAAAGGGTTCATTAGGTTTCCATGTCCTGATCACAGCTCATCCTTGAGGGAAGCCAGGGCAGGAACTCAGGACAGGAACTTGCAGGCAGGCACTGAAGCAGTGACCAGAGGAATGCTGCTTAGTGGCTTGCTCCTCTGGCCTATGCTCAGCCTGCTTTCTTATACAACCCAGGACCACCTGCCCATGCTTGGCACCTCCGACGGTGGGCTGGGCCTTCCACATCACTCAACAGTCAAGAAAATGCCTCAGTTATGTCCACAGGCCAATCCATAGAACAAATTCCTCAACTGAGTTTCCCTCTTCCCAGGTGACACCTGAAACTATCCAGCACACCATTAAAGGTATCATTGTTTCTCCATGTGTTTGAGCATTGACTCTGATTCATTCAGGGTGGAATAAAACATGCAAGAACTTACATGCCAGCCTTGCACAGTCCCACCTGGCAGGCAGCAAAGAACGCTAGCCTTTCCCAACCCTCAGAGCACTTAGGTTCATCCCAGTAGCTCCAAGCATTGCCCACCTTACAGCTCCTCTCTTGCACATAAAAACTACTGAAAAGCAACTGTGATTTAATTGGCTTCTAACCTAAAATTCTCTCCAGGAATTCTCACGGTTTCACAAAGAAATCACACCCATGCTGAGCGGCCTTCAGAGTAACAGAGTGGAATGGAAATCCCTGGCTGATGACTACGATGCGAAGGTAAAGGTGATGGAAGAGGAGGTGGAAAAGCAGGGGGACGGAGCCATGGATGGAAAAGGTTAGCTGGCATCTGCATCTGCTGTGTGTGAGGTAGCCAGAAGACTTTTTGATTTCATTTCTGGTTTTTATATGACAAAAGCACAGAATAAATGCTAACAGGAAAGAAACAGTGTGCTTTGCTGATGCACACTGATGTTAAGTTGTTAAGAAGTTCCTGGTTTTCAGGGTTGTTTTGCCCACCTATAAGATCTTATGGATAACTCCAGGTGGAGTTGTCTGGTCCAGGTGAAGCAGAGGCTAGAGCTAGGCACCAACATTTTCCTACCAGGTGGCTCCTGGGCATTTCTGCAGAACATTGGGTTTGGGGATTGCCGAGAATACAGTGCAAACCTGATATTCTGCATTAGCTATAAAACTTTAGGCAACTCGCTTAAACTCTAAGCTTAATATTCTCTATATAAAAAGAGGTTTTACAGATTTACAGTTTACAGAAGTCCTCCAAGGAAAGTAAAAGCTGGCCAACCAAATGGTGTGACTTGAAGGATACACCAAGTCTTTGCTTGTCCCCCAAATTTCTTTACATGGTGGTTTTTTTTTCAGGCCTGAGATTCCTACCCCTATAATCACTCATTAGGTTTACCTTTGCCTTCACAAAGCCTGTTAAAATGCTTAGAATGAATTACTGGTCTATCAACTGAAATATGATCTTAAAAGTAGAATTCTTGCTTGGGGTGGTAGCTCAGTGGTAGAGCATTTGCTTAGCATGTGCAAAGTCCTAGTTTTGATGCCCAGCATTGCAGAAAATGGTATGCTATTTTGGGGGTGAGGTGCACCTGATCATGTTCCTGTGTGTGTATGTGGGCGTGCTCATATGCATGTGTGTTCTCGTGTGTGTATGTGTGTGTGTACCTGAGGTTAACCTCAGGTGTCATTTCTCAGGAGCGCTCACCTGGGTTTAGGTTTAGAGGTTTGTTTTGAGACAGGGCCTCATTGTGTAGTCCTAGCTGGCTTGGCACTCACTATGCTTTGAACTCAGAGATCTGCCTGCCTGTGGCACATGAGTCACTGGGATTAAAGTTGTATGCCACTACACCTGGCCTTGCACCTTGTTTTTTGAGACAAGTTCTCTCATTGGCCTGGGGCTCACCTATTTGGATAGGTTGGCTGACCTGAAAGCCCCAGGCACTGCCTGTAGCCACCTCCACAGCACTTGGAATACGAACATGTGCCATCATGCTTTTTTATGTGGGTTGAAACTTGGGTCTTCATGCTTGAGTGGCAAATATTTTTCCATCTGAGCTATCTCTCTAACCTGAAATGCTATTTTTTGTCTTGAAAGGTTAGCACTCTAAGAAAAGTTTTGTAAGCAATTCCTCTTGATAAAGAAATCATCTCTGTGCAGAACACCTTGAAAGAAGATGCTTTTAGATAACTGTGCTGTTTGGTAGCATTTAAATCAATTTACAGAGGGTGATAATATTTACCTTAACAAGGTCATGCATGTCCTTCAACAGAATAGAAACACAAGCTTCTAACAGCTCTTTATCCATTCACTATTTACTGGGTGTCTGCTGTGGACAAGGTCCTGTGTTGGATGGGCCTTGAGGAAAAGACAAGTTCTTACCTCTAGAAATGGAGCTCAGCATTAAGCAATTGATACATATTTGATAATCCAGCAGTGAGCCTCAGAGAAAGCACAGGGTGTGCACTGGGCATAGGAAGACTTTGCTGAACGATGCCTGTGCCAGTCCTCAAACAGTGAGTTCTGACTCATACCCAAGTGAGCAGAGGTGGAGGGGGAGGAAAACAGGATAGCAAACCAGATATTGAAGTGGGAATCACTTGGTGAAACAGAATAATTTTAAAACACCTATGACTGTAGGTAGTTCAGAGAGCAACAAAAGCCAAGCACCAGATGAAGCCGTCAGAACAGGCAGCTGTCAGATAGTGCTCAGCCTATAGCCAGCCAAGGGCTTGAGTCTTCCTGTTAGTAGAGGACTTGGAACAGGAGATCTCACTTGCCCTTCAGGAAGACAAGAGATTTTAATTTTTTTTTAGTTTTATTTTTATGTGTATGCATGTATTGCATGCATGTATGCAAGTACACCCATGTCGTGCAATGCCTGCGGACAGAAGAGGGCATCAGATCCCCTGGAAGCGGAGTTACAGACAGTTGTTAGCTGCCATGTGGATGCTGGGAATCAAACCCAGATCCTCTGCAAGAGCAGCCAGTGCTCTTAACCACTGAGCCATCTCGCCAGCCCTGAGAAGCATTTACTCACTTTCTATAATTCTCCAAGTCAGATACTTTGTTAGAATGTAGAGTTCCTGACAAGAGATTTCTTAGTACTCCTGAATTTTCTCTCTACTCCAATATTATGAAAAAGAAATTGTAAGGTTCTTCAAGAGGTGCCTGATATTTCATTAGTGTACTGGACATAGGTCTATTTAAAAGTACTTCAGGTTACATGCACCCAGCTCAGATTCCAGTTGGTATAGTCTCACTGAGAAGCTGAAATGTTAACTGCCTAACTGCTTATCAAGTTTTATTTGATTTCATTTTTGAGACAGTCTCAAAGTAGAATGTAGCCCTGGCTGGCCTGGAACTCACTATGTAGACCACGCTGACCTCACAGAGATCCACCTGCCTCCACCTCATGAGTGCTGGGATTAAAGGTGTGCACCATTACACCAGGCTATCAAATTTTATTTTTAAGTGAATCGAAAGTGAGTAAAATTTTGTTTTTAAATAGTCAACCCCTTGGTATTTGCCATGGGCTAATTACAAATTAGAAATATTAGAGAATCTTAGAATAGAAGCGTTGTATTACACTGACTCCTGATGACATTGTTTTCTGGTCTTTTACTAGCTGCTACAGATTTAGGACGTGGAGTCGAAGACAAAAAGTCTAAAACATGTTTAATGTTATAATATAATCCAATTGGTCTATATTTCAACTATCATCATAGTTTTTAAGAAAAAAAAATTCAGCCGGGTGTGGTGGCACATGCCTTTAATCCCAGCACTTGGGATTCAGAGGCACGCAGATCTCTGTGAGTTCAAGGCCAGCCTGGTCTACATAGTGAGTTCCAGGACAGCTGGGGCTACAGGGAGACCCTGTCCCAAAAAGACCAAAAAAAACCAAAAACCATTCAAAAGAACTTCATCAAATTCTGCCCAGCAACCCATGAAGTAACAACACAGCAGAAGGATCTTCAGAGATGATACCCAGCAACTAGCAACAGAATTATCTACTGCTGACCAGGATATCCTGAGAGCAAAATAAAGTTCAACCAAAGAACAAAATAAAACAAAAGCTGGCGATTTTTCATGTCAATTTATTTTAAATAAAAAAAGCAATCCCAAAACGAGTCACAAACTTTATATATTTTTGTCTTCTTAAATTTATTTTATTCTTAATTATGTGTATCTGTGTCTATGAGTGCAGGTGCCCCTGGAGGCCAGAAGTGGGCAACAGATTCCCTTGGAGCTGAGGTGCAGGCAGTTGTGAGCAGCCTGATGTGGGTGCTGGGAATTGAACTTGTCTTCTGCAAGAGTAGTACTTGCTTTTAACTGCTGAGCCATCTCACCAGTCCATGTGTGTGTGTGTGTGTGGGTACAGGGCAGGGAATAGCTACAAAATCCAGGCTGACCTGGAACTTGTGACCTTCCAGTTTCAGTGCTGGGATTATAGTTTGTACTATCATACCTGACTCTTAGATGATCTTGAACCTAAAGTTTTCTGCTTCTGAACTAAAGAGATTTCTGGAAATCCTAACTTAGTTTCCTGGCACCAATGACAATGTCTAAACCAGGTCAACTCAAAAGACCATCTGCTTTCCTTGGCCTCTGGTAATCTCTGCCTGCTGTTTCCTCTAGACCACCTATTTTATGTTCCACATATGCAAGATCATGTGGTACCTGGCTTATTTTACTTAATGTAATCATCTCCAGTCCCATCATGTCTCAAGCCCTTCATGAAGTCATGTGCTTCCAACTGGGGAAAGCCTTTGCCTCTCATGGTATCTGTTTGAAATTTGCTCTTATGTGCATGCATAAATTAAGTTACAAAGTCTTCCACAATGAAGAGACATAATTATGACTGGCACCTGAACTTCAATTTGATTCAGTTGAACACAATATTATGTTTTAAATATAAAATTTTGCATGGTGATTATTATTTGATTGGGAAATCAATGTAAGAAGTTTAGAGAGCTCAGAGCATCACGACTATGAAAGATAAAACAAACTTTTATTATATTATAAATACAAGTTGAGAGTAAAAGAGCCATTGCCAGAGACTGAGGGGAAGGGGTAGCCAGAGGTCAATGAAATGTGGTGCTAATGTTAGGTAGACAAAGGTTCTGGTAATCCATGGCACAACAGGGTGGGTGTAACTGACAATAACGCACTATGTTTCAAACTAGTTAGGAGAGAGGAATTTGGATGTACTTACCATAAAGCACAATAAACACCTAAGGTGGTGAATATGTAAGCTATACTTTGATCATACACAATTGATTTATATATAACATAATTTATACATAACAAACTCCATAAATAGGTGCAGATATTGCAAGTCATTAAGTCTGTGCTTACATTGTACATTATGGAGATAAAATTGAGAAAAAAGCTTTTAGCTTTCTTTAAGCCAAA